ATATTCCCTTCCCAGGGGGATGAACAACAGAAAAGTGGGTGAGGGGCGACGGAGGACGATGTAAGATATGGAAGTAATCATCTATAACTTATTAAGGGTCTGTGAGGGAGGGCGGGAGAGGCAGGGAGGGGGAAGAAATGGGGAGCTGATATCAGGGGCTCAAGTGAGAAGAGAATGCTTTGAAAATGGTGATGGCAGCAAATGTGCTTGGGACCCTGGATGAATGTATGGATTGTGATGAGAGATTAAGAACCCCCAATAAAAGTTTAAAGAAAAAGAAGAAAGAAAAAAGAGAGAGAAGATGGAAAGAACACACAGATTCACTGCAGCAAAAAGAATTGGTCACCATTTCACAATTTCAGAAGGAAGCATATGAGCAAGAACCAATGGTGCTGAAGGAAGAAGTTCAAGCTGCATTGAAAGCATTCACCCAAACCAAGACTGTAGGAATTGATAGAATACCAATTGAAATGTCTCAACAAGCTGATAAGATACTGGGAGGACACACTTATCTATGCCAGGAAATTTGGAAGATAGTTACTTGGCCAAATGACAGGAAGAAATCTATTCCAAAGAAAAGTGACCCAAAAGAATGCACAAATTATAGAAAAATATCACTGTTATTACATGTAAGTAAACTTTTTGAAGATCATCCAACAACAGTTGCAGCAGTACATTGACAGGGGTTCAGCGTGAGGTTCGGGCTACTCTCAGAAGAGGACATGGAAAAAGGAATATCATTGCTGATTTCAGATGGATCTTTACTCAGAGCAAAGAATACCAGAAAGATGTTTATTTGTGTTTTATTAGTATGCCAAAACATTCGACTGTGTGGATCATAACAAACTATGGACAGCCTTGAGAAGAATGGGAATTCTAGAATGCTTCATTGTGCTCATGAGAAACTTGTACGTAGATAAAGAGGCAGCTGTGCAAATAGAACGAGAGGACACTGCATGGCTTAAAATCAGGGAAAGTGTGCGTCAGAGCTGTATCTTCTCACCATACTTATTCAATATGTATGCCAAACAAATAATCAGAGAAACTGGATTATATTAAGAAGAATACAACATCAGGATTGAAGGAAGGCTTATTAAAAACCTATGATATGCAGATGACACAACTTTGCTTGCTGAAAGTGAGGAAGACTTGAAGTACTTGCTCATGAAGATTAAAGATAGCAGCCAAAATATAGATTATAACTCAATGTAAATAAAACCCAAATTCTCACAACTGGACCAACCATGATAAAGAGAGAAACGTTTGAAGTTGTCAAGGATTTAGTCTTGCTTGGATCCACAGTCAATGCTCACAGAAGCAGCAGTAGAAATCAAAAGATGAGTTGCATCAAGTAAATCTGCTGTGCATGACCACTCTAAAGTATTGAAGAGCAAGGATATTAAGGTGTGCCTGACCCAAACCATGTCATTTTCAATGGCCTCATATGAATGTGACAGTTGGACATTGAACAAGGAAGACCACAGAAGAGTTGATGCATATGAATCATGGTGAAGGCAAAGAGTATTGAAAGTACTATAGACTTCCATATGGACAGAGAATCTGTCTTGGAAGAAGTACGGCCAGAATTCTCTTTAGAATCAAGAATGGTGTTACTTTGTCTCACATACTTTGGCCACGCTATCAGAAAAGACCAGTTCTTGGAAAAGGACATCATGCTAGGTAAAGTAGAAGGGCAGTGAAAAAGAGGGAGACCCTTAAAAAGATGGATTGACACAGTGGCTGCAACAATGAGCTCCATGATAACATTTGTCAGCATAGTGTGGGGCTGGGAAGCATTTTGCTCTGTTGTACATAGGGTCGCTATGAATTAGAATTGACTCCAAGGCACCTGACATCAGCAATAGCACTCTACCCCTGAATTGCCACTACCCTCTTCTATTATGCTAGATGCCTTATATACCTTCTGTGGTAGTTACATAATCTGTTGTCAATTTGAGACTTAAGAGAGAAGGGGTGGAGTTTAGCCTGGCAGTCAGGTCACAGCTTGATGACCTAATTTGGAGGCACTAAGGATAAATAGTTCATTGGAGGCAGGACACACGCTCACTCCCTGTGAGACATTCCTGCGGCCAAGAATCATGGAGCTAGGATACAGCCCTGGAATTGAAGGAGCCACGTGGAGACCCCTGCCAGTTCTGAGAGGCTTCCACCGCCACTGGATCCACAAGACTTTCCACCACTACCCTGTGATCTTTCTTCCTACATTCAGCATCATTGCATGTGCTGCATGAGTCTGAAGAAGGATTTACAGACTGGTAACAGACATATGGACTAATATCAGACTTTTGGACTTGATCTGGACAGGGCTGGAATGTTTTCTTAATGTACACTTGATCTTTGATATAAAGTTCTCTCTTACACACATATGAATGTCCATAAATTAGTTTCTCTAGTCCACCCAGACTAACACACCTTCTCATATTTGATAGGCTGTTCTGGAAGACTATACGCTGTTTTTTTAAAATTTTATTTTGATAAATATTTTTTGGGGGTATATGCTATTCTTTAGGGCTCTTAAGCCTTCTAGAGAAAGTCACTATAAATTGAATGCCATCTCCATAAATGTGGGAGTTCTTGGATTAGACTCTGTAGCAATGAAGAGCCTAGAAAAATACGTACTACAGTGGTACCCGGATTTAGGGTTAATAAATGTCTCTCCTATAATATGGCATCGTGTTTGTCCTCAGTTTGACTTCGGTTTTGGTTCCATGCAACTCTCACATCAAAAGATTTTATTTTC